ATCCAAAGCAGGCTCCAGGCTCTGAGCTGTCAGCCCAGAGCCCGACGCGGGGCTCGAAACCACAAACCGCGAGATCATGACCTGAGCCGAAGTCGGACGCTTAACCGGCTGAACCACCCAGGCGCCCCTTAACTTACTGCTCTTAAAGCAGAACCACACAATCCAGACTCTCAGCAATGTGAGAACCACGACGTCTAGCATCTAATGAAAAACTACTTGAGATGCAAAGACCCATCAATCAGGAAAGTGTGACCCCTACAAAGAGAGAAAACAGGCTATAGAATCAGATCAAGAGGTGACCTGGGTGTCAGAATAAGCACACGAGAACTGAAACCAACTCTCGTTGATATATTTATAATTGTAAAGGGAAAGACAGTTGAAGTGGGTGAGCAGCTGGGGAATCTCAGCAGAGAAATGGAACCTATATAAAAGAACCAGATGCAAATTCTAGAAACTGGAAAATACAATATCTTAAGTGGAAAACATCATTGGATAGGTTGCAATCCATGAAGCGGAAGACAGGAAGACAGGTCATACAGTATCCAAACCAAAGCAAAGAGGAAGTAAAGGGAGGCCCGGAAAAAAAGACTAGAACCTCAGAGACCTGGAGGGCGGTACCAGTCAGTGTCACGTACATGCAATCAGAGTTCCAGAAAGGAGGGAGAGGGAAGGGAGGGAGTGGTGACACAGAGAGGCAGAAAAATACATTTGAGAAAATAATGGCAAGAGTGTCTCAAAATCTGATGAAAAATATTTCAAAATTTGATGAAAAACATCAATCCACAGATCGGAGAATCTCTCAGACCCAACCAGAATAAACCCAAAGTAAACCACACCTTGACACATCATAGTTGAGTTTCTGAAAAGTAAAGACAAAGAGAAACTAGTTAGCGCAGCTGGGTGGGGAGACGCTCTATACATGGGGGAACAATGATAAAAATAACCCAAGTTCTCATCCGAGGCAACGCGGGCCGTAAGACAACGGAATGCCGTGTTTAAAGCGCGAAGAGGAAAGCCTGTCAGCATAGATTTCTATGTGCAGCAGGAACATCCTTCAAGAATGAAGGTGCAATACAGACATTTTCAGACAGATGAAAGCGGAATTTGTCGCCAGCAGACGTGCACTACAAGAAATGTTAAAGGAAGTTCTTTAGGCGGAAAGAGAGTGATAGCGGGTGGAAATTTAGACCTAAACAAAAAAGGGTTGATATGTGTAGGTATATCACAGGACCTTTCCCCTTCATGCTTTCATAGAAAGAAAGAAAGAAAGAAAGAAAGAAAGAAAGAAAGAAAGAAAGAAAGAAAGAAAGAAAGAAAGAAAGAGAGAGAAAGAAAGAAAGAGAGAAAGAAAGAAATGGAGAGAGAGAGAGAGAGAGAGAGAGAGAGAAAGAAAGAAAGAAAACCAAGTGACCAAAGCAAAAATAATTATAATATACTGTAGAGTTTATAACATGGGGAAGTAAAATGTACGACAAAAAAATAGCACAAAGGACGGGAGCAAGGTAAATGGAAATACAGCACCGTAGGCTCTTGTATTATACACAAAGAGGTAGAGCATTAATTCAAGGCAGACTGTGACAAGTGAATGATGCTCTGTGACCCCTAGAGCAGCCATGAGCAAAAGAAAGCAAAGACATATAGCTAAAAAGGCAACAGAGGAAATGAAATGGATTGCTAAAAAGCACTGGGTTAATCCAACAGTTGGCAGGAAAGCAGAAACAAAGAAGAGGTAACAGAAGACAAAACACCCAGGACAGGAGGCTTGACACCATACTGAAAACTACTTAAAATGGAAATGTACTGAACATCTCAATTGAAGGATGAAAATGTCAGACTGCATTAAAAAAAAAAAAGCAGGATACAATTATATGCTGTGTACAAGTCACATATTTTGAATGGAAGACACAGATGATTTAAAAGAGAAAAGACAGGGGGCGCCTGGGTGGCTCAGTCGGTGAAGCGTCCGACTTCGGCTCAGGTCATGATCTCACGGTTTGTGGGGTTGAGCCCCGAGTAGGGCTCTGTGCTGACAGCGCAGAGCCTGGAGCCTGCTTC